ATTAGAGGGAAAAAATTATTAAAGAAACAACACAATGAAGTTACTAAAATGTAACATATGAATAATGCATGTGAGGCAATAAGAGGTCCACTGTTAGGGTCATATAGGCCACGCAGCTGCTTTTGGATTTTACCAAAGAATCATTATTGAATAAATATGACAACATAAGCCTTTCCAGTGGAAATGAAACGAGCCGTGAATGTCAAACACACCTGAAGTCGTTTTCGTTTTGAAATGTCATGCTAAAGGGGAGTCTGGAGACGTTCACACGTCACAATAAATGTATCTTTTGTTTATCTGTAATCCTCTTCAAAGACAATAATTTAGTGACAAATCCTGATGACTTTTACCGCCTGCGATCGTATGAAAGCCTGTTAAGAGATAAATACTGTGTTTACGGTGTCAGGACACTGGCATCCTCAACCTGAGATAGCGTCTAAAAGCTTGCGTTTGACGTACACGTGGTCGTTACTCAGGAGCTCAAATGTTCTGTGATTTTTGTTTTTGTCTCATCAAATGAATATATGCCGCAATGTATCATATCATGGGATAATATTTACAAAGATCAGAGCAAATGTCAAAGTACACACATCGCTGAAACTGAACTTTTCATTTTTGGCTTAAATGCTTCGATGTTTATTAGCACTTAGATTTTGTATTGCATTGTGGAATATATTCCACACGACGTGAGAGTCTGCTGTAGAGCCGCCTCAATAATGTAATTAGCCACTAATTACATCTTCAACAATGTCACTAGATTATTGTACTAATTACTCTCTCTAAAAACTATTGCATTATTTATAACTAATTACTGTGACGCTTGGCTGAGGCTGAGGATGAAGATAACGTAACAGTGAACTTACCAATTCACAAAATTAACGGAATGCATAGCTGATATAAAAAATTGGATGACTAGTAATTTCCTACTACTAAATTCTGAAAAAACAGAGACTCTAATTATTGGACAATAAACTTCCACACGTAATAACCTAGAATACTGTCTAACACTTGATGGCTGCTCTGTTAAGTCTTCGTCGTCGGTTAGGAGCATGGGTGTGCTCTTTGATACCAATCTTTCATTTGAAAGTCACTAGTATCTGTAAAACTGCATTTTTCCATTTTAAAAATATATCTAAAATACGCCATATGCTCTCATTGACAAATGCGGAACAATTAGCTCATGCATTCATGACCTCAAGACTAGATTATTGTAATGCTCTACTGGGTGGTTGCCCTGCACGCATAATAAACAAACTACAGCTAGTCCAAAACGCAGTTCTTACCAGAACCAGGAAGTATGTTAACCATATTAGCCCAGTTCTATCAACACTGCATTGTTCGCGTTGTTCACTGAAGGTTCGCGTACCTACCCCGAAGTGATAAAATAAAATAAAATTCTGTATAAAAATTTATAGGCAAGACAAGTAGTTTGTTTAGGCATGGTTTGTAGGGAATTACAAACCTGCGCACACATATTCAAACGCACATAACTATAGAATCAATTCTTAATGCGCATGTGAACGCCATCAGCGTTTATCACAGGTTCAGTTTAAAGTCTGTTTAGAGAGAACGGTGTCGTCTTAGCGGCCCCTAATTTAATAACAAATGATCATTTCAACAGAAGTGAATCAATCAAAACTAACTTAAGCTGGAAAATAACCTTATTCAAGAACCGCTATAAAACCAAACCAATCTCTGTTACCTTAAATTATATTAAGTTTATCTCTGTAAAGCTGCTTTGAAACAATCTACATTGTTAAAAGCGCTATATAAATGAGGATGACAGTGTGTGACGCACAAACATCCGAGGGATTTTGGTATATTCCTTTCAACATACTATGCTTAGGGACACATAATCTCACATACTATTAAGGATGGATAGTAGGAACATTGGGACGCACAGTGAGAGAACTAATGATGAAAACAAGGAGCAGGTGTGTGTTAATCAATGAACAAACGAGTAACTATGACAACCAGCAAAACAAAAAGGAAACAGTAAATAATGATTTGATTAAGGGTAATCTTTTACTTATTTTTCAAAGGAAAAGTAATTACTGAAAATAATTACTTAGTGATGCATTACACTCAGCATTGGTCACTATAATATATATATACACACACACACACACACACACACACACACAAAACAAACACACACACACACACACACACATTCACAACTTAATTTCACCATCATTTCCTTTTAGACAAACTGAAACTGAAACAGGTTTAAAGTCCATGATTTTCTATTAGACCCAGAGAATAATGCACTTTTTTTATTGCATGAACACCCCTTCAGAAATGTAAAATGACGAATGGAACACCCTGCAGTTTTTTGGACTTAATTCACACGCACATACTACGTTAAGTACGCAAGACCGCAAGTGATGTGCTCTATGTGTGTCTGTCTGCGCTTGTGTGAGTGTGTGCTTGCTTTTAAAAAAATGATAAAGGCTGGCAGTGCTTCAGCTTGCACTGTAAGAAAATAATTTGTTAATTAAAAGGCTTTTTCTTGAGCAAGTATACTGTAAGTACATGTACTATAAAATAAAGTGCAACCCTCGTTTCTGTGGTGCATTATGGGATTGAATGAGTGCACTCAATATTGCCCAGTATGGTTTTACACACTACTACACATGGATTTTCCAATTTATTGTCATTTCAATGTCGGATGCGTAAACATTCACAGCTCCTCTCCCGTAGCCTTGTGAGAGAGTAAAGTGTCCAGGGTTTATATACAGTAGCCTTGATAGAGACTGCCGTTGAGACTAAACACATTGTGCTCGACACAACACATGTTTATTTTCGATGCAAGTGATCTGTATTTAATGTAATATTACTTGCATAATTCATTTGAAAACTAAAAATAAACTGGATGGCAGTGGTGTTTTGGGTTAATCAGCATGTATGATTAGTTTGATACATGGATGATGTGTTTGGTCTCCCTGCAGCGATGTGTTGGGTCTATCAGTGTGATCTTATCTTGTGGGTTTTAGATGTATGTCCTGATGTGGGGAATCGCTCATGACACTGGGTTCTTGTGATGCGTGCACTTCCTGATCCCGCTGGAGGAAAGTCAAACCCAGCAGGACATGTTGCAGCTTCACTACTCTGATGAATCATTTCTAGTGGCACATATTAAATTCCTACTGAAGTACATATGGAATGTTGACCCTTTGATTTGCTTGTTCTCTGATATAAAATACCCAAACACATAACGGAAGGGCTGGGGATGGATGGATGGATGGATGGATGGAGGGAGGGATGGATGGATTGGGGGAGGGAGGGAGGGAGGGATGGATGGATGGATGGATGAAGGGATGGATGGATGGATGGATGGATGGATGGGGGGATGGATGGATGGATGGATGAAGGGATGGATGGATGGATGGATGGGGGGATGGATGGATGGACGAAGGAAGGGATGGATGGACGAAGGAAGGGATGGATGGATGGATGGGCGGTGGATAGAGGGAGGGAGGGAGGGATGGATGGATGGATGGATGGAGGGAGGGATGGAGGGACGAAGGAAGGGATGGATGGATGGGGGGTGGATGGATGGAGGGATGGATGGATGGATGGAAGGGATGGACGAAGGAAGGGATGGATGGATGGACGAAGGAAGGGATGGATGGATGGATGGATGGATGGGCGGTGGATGGAGGGATGGATGGATGGAGGGATGAGGGATGGAGGGAGGGACGAAGGAAGGGATGGATGGATGGAGGGATGGATGGATGGGGGATGGAGGGAGGAATGGATGGATGGAGGGAGGGACGAAGGAAGGGATGGATGGATGGGGGGTGGATGGATGGATGGATGGATGGAGGGATGGAGGAATGGATGGATGGAGGGATGGAGGGATGGATAGAACGGTGAAAGGATGGATGGATATATGAATAAAATGAAGGATGGATGGATGGATGGATGGATGGATAGTTGGAGGGAGGGATGAAGGAAGGGATGGATGGATGGATGGGGGGTGGTTAGAGGGAGAGAGGGATGAATGGAAGGATGGATGGATAGAAGGATGGAAGGATGGATTGATATATGAATAGAATGAAGGATGGATGGATAGAAGGGTGGAAGGATGGATGGATGGATGGGGGGTGGATGGAGTGAGGGATGGATGGATGGATGGATGGATGGATGGGGGGTGGATGGAGTGAGGGATGGATGGATGGATGGATGGATGGGGGGTGGATGGAGTGAGGGATGGATGGAAGGGTGGAAGGATGGATGGATGGATGGATGGATGGATGGATGGATGGATGGATGGATGGATGGATGGATGGATGGATGGATGGATGGATGGATGACCATACAGCAGAGGAAGGAAGGAATCTGAATCGGGCATATTGTGTTCAACACAGTTTTTGTGGCAGCATTCGAAGTGCCGAGCCTAAATCCCATAATTCCTTTAGTAAATCTGATGCTGAAACACCACAGACAGAGTGTATGAAGAAATGTCAGCAACAGTTCAGTTTGCTCTATGGATCTAATAGGGACAAAAAGGTGCATATGAACCAATTTAAAAATTACAGTAACAGGATAAATAAACAAAAACTAAAAACAAACAAAAAAAATGTATTATTGCACTTAATGTTATTTGTAGGCTTTATAGCATATGCATTAATACAATTATGATTTTCTAAAAATCTATAATGAGCCCCCTCATGTGGCATGCCTATGCGTTGCACATGATATATATATATATATATATATATAAAGTGCCCTGGCCTTGAATGACAAGGTAAGGAAAATAAGACTAAATCAAAATTAAATAACCAAGACTAGGTTGTCCTTGTGATTTTTCTCATATACAACCCATATAACTCATATATATATACACACACACCATTTTTGTGCATCTGCTCAAGTTATGAATTTCACAACATAAGCAAGATGAAAGATTTCGTCCTGCATTCATTCTGCATGTGATGCTGTTAGTTTGACGTTGAGTGTGTGTTCACTGCGCGTGAATGTTCAGAGAAACACACCTTGTACTGGTAGCGACTGGATTTGTTCTCTTGACGGTTCTTGAAAGGATTTGGGTGGAATTCTTCATCATGTTTATCATCTGTAACTCTGGATGTTGCAGTGACTGGTCTAATCACTCCAGGCTTTGTCTTTGTCTAAGACAGATAAACAAGAACGAAATTAATTATAAATCAGTAATTCACAAAATCAGCTTAAGATTTCTTCAGCCAACACCTAGTATGTGTCGTCTAGTACATTACAACAGCAATGATATACAATTACATATATTAATTAAATTCAACAATATGGAATTCCTTTATGATATTTTTATGCTTCAATCATTACAATGCATAATAACTTTCCTTAACTCTACCATAAGTAAATCCACTTTTCAATGACTCTTCGACAGCGATGCCATAGAAATACACAGAGCTATGCAAAAACTGAAGTGCAAATACAAAATTATAAAGATGAGTGTGCTCTTGTTTCTCTGGCACATATGTAAATAGAAACATTATTTTACTAAATCTCCTCTTCATATCTACTGAACGGCGTAAAGTGGCAGAAACTGAGATAAACATTTTAAATGCAAATAGATATATATACCAAATACTTACCAGTGTTTTTTCAGTCGTTACAAAGGGTTGAAAAGGAGAGCTGGCCTAGAAAAAAAGACGGCGTTACCCATGCCATGACATCTATAAAAGACTCAGTAATGAAATGCATCTGCATATGAAACTGTGTGTATTCTACATAGTTTTACATTTGGCAACAGAGTCCTGATTGAGCTGAAGAACGCTTAGGGCATGAATGAAATAGTTTTGAAACAAGTGATTCCAAAATATGCTCTTAATGTTATTTGAAGTGATTGCATATCATATTATTCAGCTTCATGCCTGTAATCTTTTCAGAGTTTGTGATATTCCATTAAATCTTTCTATTGGCAAAATCTGTGAAATAACAATAGCAAACTGAGTGTCCACATCCTGTAATTTGCATATGATAAGAACATCTTATCCAAGCGAGATGAAACTCTGCTCTCAGAATGAAAACAGGGTCTAAAATAACATTATTCAATACTTCAGTAAAGGTCAGAATACCTGCATTCTCACACAAAACACTATTCTTATCATAAAAAGAAAGTAAATCAAAATCCTTTAGCAGTAGAAAAAGGGTCCAGTTTATGGGTCAACTGTTGTAACGTGTCCACGCTTTATATTGATAGGCATAATGCCACAGCATGTGGGCAGGACGGCTGGATGTGTGATTGGGTCTGACTGAATAACAGACATTTACTCTGATTACCAGTGTTTACTGGTGGGCTGAGAACCCAAAATGGCTCTCGGCTCTGTTCTAAAAGTAAGTAAAGTAAAAGTTTATTTATATAGCACCTTTCACAGGTACTTCACAACAAAAACAGTTATATCATAAAATACACACAATAAAAGCATAGACAGTACATAGTCATATCAACCCACAAACAGCTAATTAAAAGCCTGAACAAATAAATGAGTCTTTAGTCTGCATTTGAAGGCAGCATCAGAGTCAAGAGAGCGCATAGACGGTGGGAGGTCATTCCACAACCTAGAGGGAATCTTTTGGTCATGGTTCTGACCGGCAACAGCAGGGAAATGCAGCTAAAATGTAACCATATAATTGTTAATAGTTAAGACTGCACATTGAATAGGCTTATCAACATTTGGAAGATGAAAATGCTTCCCATATCTTTTCTTGTCCGCATCAAAGATGCATCCAATAAGTTTTCTATACTTCTGTCGGATAAAGAGTTGCATCTAAAATCTAGGTGTGAAATCTGGGTCTTTGATTGGCTTGAGTGCTCAGATTCACTGGCATACACAAATAGTTTGGATAGTAGAATTGAATTTTAAAAAAGTACAGTAGCAAAGTTTCTAGAGCTCTGAGATTGCATTTTAATATGCAATCTATTTCCAGAACTAACACTTTTATAATGAATGATTTGCCTTCTCAGAAGCCTGGGTGTAAAATATGTACAGAGATCAGTGGAAATACTCACATATCTTGTTTCCCGTCCCAATAGTTTTGGTGATGGTGATGACGTCTGTAACTAGAAATTCAGAATAAAAGAAAAGAGAATGATTTACGCACACATTTTCAATGCAAGTACAGTGAATATAATCAAAATGTAAAGCTGGGTTTGAACAGCAGCGGCTGAAAGTGTCAGAGTGGATGATCGAATTCTTCATCTCATTTGCTAATTGACGTATTCTTTGAAAATAATCAGGAAATTGTAGCTCTTACAAATGACAAAAATGTTATTTTTTATTTGATTTTATATTTTTTCTACTTTTTATTATAACTCATAGTTAAAGTCAACGTTTAAGACCAAGATACTCTGATTATACACACAAACAAGAAATATTTTATTCCTCGACAAGCAGTATAACGTGATTCTGCTGTGAATAATCAAAATGAAGATGAGATAAGTGTCAATCTTTAATTACACACCCTTGATGTCTCCGCTGCCAAAGACTGCAGAGTGGCTCTGTTCACATGGTCTGATTGATGCTGGGGAAAAATAGATTAAAACATGAGAATCGCTAGATAAAAGGAACATTGTTTAGGAGTGTGTTATGGTGTGGGCTCACTTTCTGGATTGAGTCCTCGAGGACTTCATCAATGGTGGCGTACAGGTCTGCAGTCTGCTGACGGAGCTGCGCAGGAGAGCACATCTGCACACACACATTCACGTTCACACGTCACACACTAAGACAAAAGGTGTATCACAGGACTGGTACATATGTAACGGAGGTCTTTAGCCTCCTTGTTAGAGCGCCTGACTCTCATGCCGGAGACCCGGGTTCGAGGCCGGGTCGAGTGGGACCAGGGTGGAGGGGTTACATTGGTGCCGTGACCCGGATGGGAGTGAGGTTTGGGGGGTGAGTGTAACGGAGGCCAGCTAGTAGTTGCTGTGCGAGTAAACCTCACTCCTCTGATCTCAAAAGGCTCTCTAGCAACAGATGCTAGTGTCTGCAGTCTTTAGCCTCCTTGTTAGAGCTCCTGACTCTCATGCCGGAGACCCGGGTTCGAGGCCGGGTCGAGTGGGACCAGGGTGGAGGGGTTACATTGGTGCCGTGACCCGGATGGGAGTGAGGTTTAGGGGGGTGAGTGTAACGGAGGCCAGCTAGTAGTTGCTGTGCGAGTAAACCTCACTCCTCTGATCTCAAAAGGCTCTCTAGCAACAGATGCTAGCGTCTGCAGTCTTTAGAGCTCCTGACTCTCATGCCGGAGACCCAGGTTCGAGGCCCGCTCGGAGTGGGTGGAGGGGTTACACATACGATATCAGAAAGTAGTGAATTTTGCTGGACATTTCACCAAAATAAAAATATATTTTACATATTAAACAGAGATGCATATTTGTGGAAAGTCCAGCAGAGAGTTAAATACTTATTTGTTATTGGTACTTCATCTCATTTTATTATTTATTCCATTTAATTCATGGATAATGGATGCAAATTAAAAGATGTTATCAGTGCAAAGATGCAAGTAAAGGTTCTAAAAGTCAATTATAAAAATGATAGTTTGTACTGATCTTTATTTGGCGCAAATCCCAGTCTCTCATCATTTATTTTCACACGTAAAATAATGTAAAGCAGTCTTGCCAACTGAAATATAGAGTTATATCAAAATATCGGTAACGCTTTAGATGACAGCCCGGAAAGTACTGAATAATTAAAGCAATTTTACAGTGTAACGTTCGGTACTAATTATAGTGTACCTATAACGTACTTACAATATAAGTATAAGGGAACAATATTTTAAGTTTGGGAAATAAAGGGGTAACAACCAGGAGAATAAAAAAAAATATTTATACTGTAAGTATTATAGAACTAAGGGGTACTTATTCTACTATTATGATATAACAATCTTACATTTGGGTGCAATTTAGCAAGAACAAACCTTTTTGAAATAACCAGGAAATACTGTATAGGCTTTTTTTTTTATTACAGGGTACATATCTATGCAATTATAAAGTAATCTTTTTAACAAAAGTGCACTGAAAACGAAAACTATTGCAACTTTTGCTTAAATATTGGGGAAAGATACTCCTGTTTCATGTAGTGGTGCTTGTTACCCTCTTGTTCCATGTAGTTACAGGGTAACAGTAAAAATGCGCATACACACAATCTTACATCACTGACTCAGAAACCTTTATTTATTATACAAGCACCACTTACCCTGTAACCACATGAAACCGGATTTATTTCCCAGTATAGTTTTAAAAATGGCAATAGTCTTAGCTTTTCTTGCCTTGAAACATGTTAGCCCAAACTTAAACACACTTTTGCTGTAAAAAAAAAAAAAAAAAATTGTTTATAAATGCATAGATATGTACCCTGTCATTTTAAAAAAGCCTATACAGTATGTATTGCCTTGGTACACAATTATTACAAAAAGGTACGCAGTGTGTGTTCTTTCTAAATTGCTCCCAAATGTAAGATTGTTGTATCATAACAGTAGAATAAGTTCCCCTTAGTTCTATAATACTTGCAGTATAAATATTTTTTTATTTCTCCTGGTTGTTACCCCTTTATTCCCCAAACTTTACATATTGTTCCCTTATACTTACATGTAAGTACTTTATAGGTACACTATAATTACAGAAAGTTACACTGTAAATTCCTCTTAATTACACAGTACTTTCCAGGCTGTAATCTAAAGCGTTACCAAAATATCTACTGGTTCTACCAGCCACCACATGGTATACTGTTATACCCAGCGAATTCAGGTGTTCGTGTCTCTACCTCTTCATGTGGGTCCTCCCAAGAATAGTTGTCTGCAGGGTTGAGCGACGCCTCTTTCTTGTTGACATCTTCATCTATAGCCTTCAAAGTTAAGAAATGCAGATGAAGCTTTAATCCTTTAATGAGGCAATATATGCTTGACCTTAGCAAGTGGATAGAAGGAGGTTTTAGAAGCAACTAAATCCCAAAGATGTGAGTCTGCTCGCGTCTTATATTGATTATCCCACTATTTTCTGACCTTGTTCAGTGCAGTTTAACCTCTCCTATAATGTCTAATGAGGTATACAATGTGGATGACTCATCCTGCTTGTTCTGTTAAGGGTCCCTTTGACAGCTTATGAAAAAATCCATTCTGCTGTCCATCAACGAAAAAAATAAATGATTCAATTTCAACCTCTTTAACGACAATACAATACAATTGCATGGAATCCAAAAATAACACTGATTTAATGGCTTAAACTGACACTGAATGAGATCCATTTATTAATTGTACGCTAAATAATAGCTGTCATTTAGAGTAATTAGATAAAGCAGCTCACCTGCTGTTCCAGGAGCAGAGTGTTTGTAGGAATAGCAGCGAGCGCCTTGTAGGTGGATTTGATCCTGTGTGTCTTTAGGAAAGAATGGTTGAGAAGTCATAAAAAGTCAAAAGCAGAATTAAACGACATAATCTACAATCCCCGTGCTATGCAATAAGGCTAGGCGCTATATGAGTAATTCCCTATCATGAAACAGTCATAGCACAATATTGTTGTGTTTGCATGGAAAAAGTTTTCAATAATAAAAAGCCATGTGGTTCTTTCTCCTTATTGGGGGGAATGAATTCATGCATGAAAAAATATAAAAAAAGCCAATATACCCATGCATGTGACTGCAGATCAACATAAACATAACCATGAGTTCAGAATATCTCAGTCTGCATTCGTGTTATGTGGAAAAAGCTTAAAACCGTATAGCCGTGCAAACCTCTCTGCTGTAGTATACCATGTGTGTATTGTACGAACCAAGGGTACCGGCAAACACGACACATGCAAACCTTGCCCTTTGCTAAAGATTTAGTGCTTTTGCATGAGTGTGATGCATATCATGTTTCCCAGCAATGCGGGAGGCATGTCACTGCTGGAAATGCACGGCACTGCTTGAATGATTGCCACTTCTCTGTGGTAGGGCATGCAAGTAACTTGCAGGTAACAGCGAAAGGGCATGCACTGTACCTTTCTATTTTTACAGTCCCCATCTGCGCAGTCTGGTGTGCTTCCCCATTGGGATGGAGAGGGGGATGAACAGAAAGAGTATGAGGGAGAGGGGGAAAGCTGGCGGCTCGGGACCGCCGGGGAGGGCGAGAGGGTCCAGCGGTCTGGGGTGGAGGACCGGGAGCTTGGGTGGACGGGAGGACAAGCTGGAGAAGCTGGAGATATGTAGGACAGGCGGGCGAGACCCATGGGTCTGGGAGAGGGAGATGATGGGTGCACTCTTTCCACGTCATTTATGCGAGCATTTTGGAAAAGAGTACTTTGTTTATTCTCTTTGTGGCTTAAAACTGGAGATGTGGAATTGATGTGTGATTCGAAAGTGTGTTTCAGAGTAGGAGATGAAGATTTACATGAGCTCAGAGCAAGTTTTGGTAACGAGGAATCTAAATTGACAGGTGATCTTCCTATGTGTTTCAGATATGGTTCATTGGAGAGCTCAGATGATTTCTGACTCTGTGTCAGTGGCAATGAATATTTTTCTGGCCTATCATGGGGTTTTGTTTCATCATTATGTATTAAAGATTCGCCTGAATTATTTGGATCCATAGATACAGGACATTCTGCTGACACTGGTGGATTTTTATGGTTCTCGTTGCTGGAACATGACAGATAGCTTGGTTTAGGAGATCTCATGCAGGAGTTGGAGCTACACAAAAGAGAGCTAGGAACAGTCGGCAAACGATTCCCCTTGGGAGCTGATTTAGGCAGGTGAGCATTGGCAGCCTGGACTGCAGGTAAGCTTGGCGAAGAGATGTGATTTGTAGGTAAGATGATGCCACTACTACTGGTGAAATGTCTGCATGAGTCAAGTCTTTCTGGTGGTTTCATGAGTGGGGATTCGTCAGGTGCCTTAACCAGCTCCCGTTTCCAAATCTGTGGCTTTGAAATCTGGAAAGACTTTGTATCTATGGAGGTACAAGACTTTGCTTTGGACACGTTCATGGGTGCAACAGAAGAGGCAGCTGAGCACGCTAAACAGGAGGACATGTTAACTGGACTGATGGGCCAGCAGGGCGTGTAAGGTCTTTGAGATGAAGAGGACAGGACGGGTAGACGGCCTTTCCTGAGGATTGCCGTAAGCAGGGAGAGTTGGGTTGGAGGAGTCCTGTGCCGGGCACGGGGCGAAAGAGGACAGGGTGAGGTTGTCCGACTGTCACAGGGTGTACCGCAAACAGACGACATCTGTAGCAAACTGGAGCCCGGAGCCAAAGAAAGCCGCTTGATTCTCACCACAGAGGGTGTGAAAGTCCCTGATCTCACGGAGGAACACGGGGAAACTGTGCGACTAAAGGGACCTGGAGAACCGTCTCGTGAGAACATGTGAAGCGCTGACCAGCTCCTCTCCTTGTCCCAGCCCTCGGAGAGAATCGACTCCTTGGAAGAAGCAGGGGATGTGAGGAAATCCATGGAGCTGGCAGGGCTAAGGACCTCCTCTCTCTGGGACGAGCTATTTAAACACAGACCTGAGCTGACCTCAGCAGTGTTGTGAAATCCTAGATGAGAAATGCCAGGGTGTTTGTTAACACTGGTTTCCATGGCAGGGGTTATGCTACCGAATTCTGCGCGAGGACCAACTAGGGTGGTGTGTGGCTTAAGGGTCACATTGTCATTTGACTGAATCTGAGAAAGAAAGAAAATTACAGAGCCATAAACAGAACTCATTTGAGAATTGTAATGATGATTAACCATTGTTTTCTGCAAACTGTTTGTTTATTAACAGGCCTGATTGGCAATTACAGTATAACTCATTATTAGAAGTCTATGTAGACAGTAAAATTTCTAATGCATCAGACTAATTTCTCTCTTGTTGCCCATTGAGAATTTAGTGGAGTCGGTTCAATCCGGTCTCAAATATCAAGTTTGTAATTCCAGCACCAAATGCATGATGGTCTACATGTTTAGGTGACCCTAACTGGGTATGCCATTGGCGAGAGAAGTCTTGGAAACATGTTTAAAAACACTATTTCTAAGCTTCTGATAAACACTAGTGGCACTAATTAGACACAATAAATGCTCCTATCCACCAATTGCTCGGTCAGAACTTTATCTACTTTGTAAGCACGCTAATGTGTGTGTTTAATTAACAGGGGACTGCAACACAGAAAGCAGCCGTGTGTTATCAGTATACTCATTATCATGATGTCTCCCATTAGAGCCGGCTAAAAGATATTAAGGATTCATCCCAAAGCAACTTTGTACATTGAACTCTACAAACAGTCCTTCATTTCTACTTGGAAAGTCATTGCTTCAATAGCTTGTTTTCTGGTCAATCGTTCTGTCACGGCGTATTAAGTATATATAATTGTGGCATTTTTAAAGAAGGTTCAGCAGTAAGTTAAAGAACAAAATTTGGTAACACTTTACAATAAGGTTCATTAGTTAACATTAGTTTATGTATTAACTAACATGAACTAACAATGATCAATACATTTGTCACTGTATTTGTTAATCTTTGTTTACGTTAAAAATAAAGCTGTTCATTGTTTTGTTCATGTTAGTTCATAGTGCATTAACTAATGTCAACAAATACAACCTTTGATTTTAATAATGTATTAGTAAATGTTGAAATTAATATTAACTAAGATTAATACATGCTGTAGAAGTATTGTTCATATAGTTCATGTTAACTAAGGCAGTTAACTATGTTAACTAATGAACCTTATTGTAACGTGTTACCTTACAAATTTCATCAGGAGTTTGCGTTTGCCCCTCTAACAGAATATACCACAATACTAACCTCACTTTTAGTGGTGTTCTTGAGCGTTTCTCCCAGCTCTTGGACGTAAATAACCTCAGCCTTGTAGACACCCTCCTCTGCCATGCTCTTCTCAAAGTCCCCTGGCTCTCGGGAAGTCTGACATTGGAAAAGGAAATGTTACTAAGAGACACCAAACCTGAAATGGCAGCTGTCCCAAAGTTACAGATGGCTATTTCTAGCTTCTGAGCATCTTGACGATATAAGAGAGTCAGTGAATGCATTTATGTGTGCGTGTGTTTCCCGTTCCAGCTCGGACATCTTTTTACCAGAAGTCCATGTCCCTCATGTATTGCTCACGTGCAAGAACGCATGACCCACCCTGATTGTGTAAGCCCTTCAGCAAATGCCTTCTGCAGTTTCCCTTCTACACACACATAGGTCATCTTCTCCTAAGGGACTCTGGGAATCACTGAAGTCTCCCTCTATCAGATTTGAGAAGTATTTGCTAATTAAAGGAACAGTTCACTCAAATATGTTATTAAGATCAAAGCAAGCGTTACTGCAACGCAAAAAAAAGAATGTGAATTTTTAATCTAAATGTGAAATACATTTGAGAGCTTCAGTAGAGGTAAACATTTGTGAGTTATGACTTAAATTTGTGTCTGTTCTTCCAAAAAAAAAAGCTTCTACAGAATACAAACAGCACAGATGCTGATTTTATGATACTTCTGTAGTGCTTGGACCCCTGAAGTGCTCTTTATCTCCTTTTCTTCATATCACATATTTTAGTAATCATCATAAATTAGGTATAATTTGAAAGCTTACAAACTCAAAAAAACGTTTTGAAATTTGATGTTGTGTTACCATGGAAACGGTACTCTACTTTCAGCTTTCAGCTTTCTCTCGACTAGTCAAACCACGAACGCCATTCATACAGTTCAGAAGTTCACTGAACTTCATACAGTTCAGCTCACTTAGCACGTCGTTCGTGGTTTGACTAGTCGAGACTGTTTTCCAAAGATGGCTCCTGTCTGTATACACCAAGTGGACTGTCTTTATCTTTATCTTCTTATTAAACGGTCTGTACACTTGCAAAGTTCTCAATGCGTCGTTTTGCATGTAGGGACCCTCATTATGTTACTGTGTTAGTGTGGGGCTATTTTGAGCCTTGTTAGTGGTATTAACTAGCGATTTCTTTTTACTTATTAAATGCCCCCATTACTAGCATTATACGCTAAACAGTTTTTAGAGATAAAACTCTTTACATTCGATTATCATGAAAACAAATCTCAAAGAACGATTGACTAGGTACCAATGTGTTATTAGACCAAAGGTTCATTTTGCGCCGGAGTTCTCCTTTAACCCCTTCCGTGTGGTGTCATGTTTTGTTTTTGACTGACACGGTGTGGCCTTCATTTTAACAGGAACCATACTGAGCCGTCTCAAGTGTGTTTCTCACCTGGTTTGGTCTGCCAGCCTGAAGAACCTTTTTCCAGATCCTGTTCTCCACGGGCAGTCTTTTCAGAAGTGGAACAAAGGTGAAAGACTTGAGCTTGGTTGCAAATACAGTGGTGACCTGTACAAACAGACATATTATTAAAGTAATTTCATTTCACACAGGGAAACAGCGTAGAGCCATCAAGCTTGTGTCTGCACCAACACACGATAGAAACAAAACCAGCGGTGTGTCCAGGTGAGCAGAAATGTTTCATCCTCATATTGTCTGATTGGAGCATTCAGTGCTACAAAAAAAATAAAAAACCTGCTGTCTTCATTCTGAAACACAAATCAAGAGCTGTGATTATAAAATCATGCCATTTATACCACTTCATTTTGCAATCACGCCTTTTCTGGATCTCGGTTGATCATTTAGCAGCTCCTGAGGATGAAATACGTGCCTGTCTTGCTTATAGTGGCAAAGTACTTGTTTCCCACCCCCAAAAATGATGACTTAAGAGAATTTGACATACTTAATTTCTGACAAACTTTGAAATGAGTAAAAAAAAAATGCTTGCATAGCACATTTGCATCCTAATCCAAAACAATGGCTGAACAGAGTAACTTTAGAGGAAATGTTTTACCTTCTGCTGACTTTAGCACTGCCGTCGACATGAGGCGGTTTGAGGATGGTAATGTGCGGTCTCGCAGATTGCTTGTATATTCATTGGAATGCAGAAACAACAAAGGGGCCATTCAGTGTTTAACAGTAGGCGTTAGGGACGGCCCTTTCCTGCTCGCATTTTAAAATCAGACAATTAACGATTGTTGGCTTGCTCTCTTGACATGTTCATGATTACTAGCAGATGTCTTAATTATCTGATTTAAAGCACATGCACCTACTTATTCTTTATTATTAATATTGCGTTGTTATTAAAACTGTCCTTATATATTTTGTTGTGAAGGATTTCCCGTGCATCCTGGACACTTGTTGTCTCAAACAATGCATGAATTTCTTGAATAATCTAATGTTGGATTATTCAATAAATTAGGGGCCAAGCACCGAAGGTGCAGAGGCACCTATTGTATCTGTTAGTTTTCTTATTATTATTATTCCGTGAATGGGAGTCTATGGCAGCCCTATGAACAGTAAGTAGGAAAATGATGAAATTTGGCACACTTGTAGTGATGCTAATGAATAGTAATTGGACCAATTTTTGACCCTCTAGGACCAACTCTATAGCGCCACCACCAGTTCATAAATTCAACATTGAAATGGTTATAACTTTTAAACCCTTTGATCTAGAGACATCAAACTTGGTACACCTGATTCCACTCATCATGCTGATCACAACCAATACCTTACATTAAGACCCCGCCCATTACAGTAGTGGCCATTTTGAAATGTACAGTATTCCGTTTTTTCGCTACTCCTCCATCAAATTTTGTCCAATTTTCTCCAAACATGGGCTCAAATGATCGTCAGACTGAGCCGCATAAAAGTACTGTTCCCGATTTTTTTTACTCATCTTTGTTCAAAAGTTATGGTGTCGCAAACTTAACGAGGTCCACCCAAAATTGGCTAAGAGGCTGTATCTCGGCCAAAGTTTGATCAATTGAAATGAAAATTGGTACACTTCATCGGAAGCATGTTCTGAGGTCCCAGGCCAAAGTTGGGAATGGCGCCACCTACGGGTCATGAGATATGACAAATTGCTATTTTGGCCAATAACTTTTGAACAGTTTGTCAGAAATTCATAATTGTGGTATCTATGGATTCCTTGCGTCATGCCGAATCCGTGGATATCGATTTTGCCATGATGGGATGTACCACGTGTCCGCCATTTTGAATTTTGTCATAAATTGCAATATCTTTTAAACTATTTGACATATCAGCACACAATTTGGTAGGGATGACCGACACCATGTCCTAAAGCGACATGAGAAGTTTGATCACAGCGCCACCTAGTGTTCCAGATATATCATTGTTTTTTGAAAAAACGCTTATAACATTTGAAAATATTGTTCAAATTTTGAGTTCTTTATGACATTATGTTCCTTGGTTTATGCCGATTTAGACGATATCTCATTTGTCATTTTCCAACAATGTGACTGGCCGCCATATTGGAGCGAATGTAAAACAGTTTTTTCGCTACTCCTCCTTCAAAATTTGTCCAAAATTGTCCAAAATTTGCTCAAATGATCTTCGGACCGAGCCGCATAAAAGTACTGTTCCCGATTTTTTTGCTATACTGTAATAAAAAAGTTATGATGTCACAAATTTAACAAGGTCAACCCAAAATTGGCTAAGAGGCTGTAACTTGTGAACAATTTGTCACAAAATCATAAAATTGGTGTCTATCGATTCCTTGCATCATGTCGAATCCGACGATATCTATTTTGCCAGGATTGGATGTACCACGTTATAAGCTAAATTAGCATTAAGCTAGCTTAGCATGCTTATCTGGTTAACATGTCATGGAACTTTTTGTGAACTCATTCTCACACTGAAACCTCTACTCAGCAGGCTGGTGAACGTGCATGAGTGATTAGCTCAACGTGTTACACCACGGATCCCGATGTTCAGCGTCGTGGGTTCGCCACTCAGTGTGACATGTGCCCAGACCGCATGAGGTACTGTGGCAGGAAAAGATGCAGAAGTTGCATCTGTTCCAGGCATTGTGCATAAGAATGATCTCATCTGAAGCTGCCACACACAACATGCAGTGCTTTTACGTCCAATTCATTGTTGTTCTTCTTCCAGAAGGGTAGTCAATGGCAGCCCTATGAACCACAAGTTAGAAAATTGGCACACTTGTAGTGATGGTAATGAGTAGTAATCTGACCAATTTTGGATGATTTAATCTAAACTTTTTAAATACAAAATGTTCTCCATTTACTTCAAAATTCTTAATTTTGACTTGATTCTCTCTTGAAAATATTGAATTTCGGCAGCTGTGTAGATGCATGTCTGGCAAGTGGCTCAACGAGATGAGTGACAGGCATCTAACCCATAGATAGTGGGTTCGAGTCCCGTGTGGGACAACTTTAAAATTGTGTATTATGAAATTAATTGATTATGAAACACTTGTAGTGAGTAGTCCAACGTGTGATCAGATGATCTTTGGACCGAGCTGCACAGAAATGATGAACAGGTTTTTGATAGTAGCCCCCATACCAAAGATCTTCCTCTCTGCAGTTGACCTAGCCTGTGTTTGTTGCCTTATCTTAGTTAGCTTAGCATACTAATTGGTTAGCATGCTAGCCAGATGCCATTCTTTCTAATGTGGCTCTTCAGTTATCAGGCTAAACCATAAGGCTTTAAGTGGTGGACAAGTTGCTTCTGTTCCAGGTGAAGGAGCTAGTAGAATAGAACACACAGATAATTTATTTAAAAATTCTTCATTTTGAGTTGCTTCTCACTTGAACTATGGATCTTCTGCATCTTGGCCAAAACACAACTTCCAAGTGGTGCAATGAGATGAGTGACAGAAATCTGACCCAGAGATAGTGGGTTCAAGCCCCATGTGGGACAACTTTAATTTAAAAAAAAAATGTGTTAAGTTGTCATTTCAATTCCTTTATTATCCAGATAAGCATTGTTGTAATCTTTCTTTTGGGATTAGAAATGTGTTTTTGTTCATTCTATGTTGATTCTTACCTGAAGTCTTAAATATCCAGAAAGGTTTGTGAACAAATGAGCAGTCATTGACTTTCAACTATTCTAATTGCATTGTAAGCAGTTACATAAATTGGTTGTTTTCTTCCTATGTATAGTCGTATCCTCTTTTTTTTTTTGCCTCCATGTGTTAATTCTCAACTTCATATATGTGTTTGTGCATTGTGTGTAAAGTAGTGAACTGGAGAGCAGAAGGGTATGATAAGATGTTTGTGGTGGTCTAGGTAAACCTCTATTTTTTTAAATTGTGCTGCCTTTTTTACATTTCAAGTTAAATACATAAAGCTTCAAACAGAACACAAATGCCTATTCAATTGATCAACCACTGGCAACATTTTATTGCAAAGTATATAGTAAAGAATACTTTCAATTCCATACAAGAAATGGTTTGACCAACTCCACAATATTAACTGATCTGACATTAAACATTTGAATGTGTACATATGCATATCTTTTAATTATTTTAAGTCCCATAAACATTAGACTTACTTAGTGACTTGAATATCAGTTTTTCCTTCTCGTCATGTGGACAATAAATAAAAGTAATTTTATCATAATAGTAAACCATAAAATCACATTAAAATACATGAACATTTTTGTATTATCTAACATTAAGAATTGTTTTAAAAAATAAATTGTAATTGTAAATAGAAGTTAATTAGTTACTACATGAATGTTAAATTACAAATAGTTACTATTCTAACAGTACATTATTTGGATCAACATCAATTAGTTGAGGTATATTGCCAAAAAGACTAGTAAAAGCTAACCTAAAGAATTTACATAATGTATACAATTATTTATTCTCAAATAAGCAACAAAATATCATTACACATCAAACAATACACTATCATTATACACAAAGCTGCACTCCAGGTTTATTGCTGCTCCTGATGCTTTGAATATTTTCCCAAAACAATCAGAGTAAAGCTTAATTAAGTTCAAGAGGCTTCATTTCTCCATCCCTAAAAGGCATTATACAAGTAAATTTACCTTTCAATTATTTCCAGCAGACTTTCAGATCCATTTCTTGCCTCCACTAAACCAAGCTTCCCAATTCTAAAATGATTAACTCAGCAATTTGATGAATGTATTACTAATTCCTGCAATCACCCTAATTGAATCGTTTGTTAATTGCATACCAAGCATTGTCAATTTCTGTTCTAGTAGGCCTAATCTACTATAAATCACACCACTTGCAAACCTCTTTTTTCATGCAACAGCAAAAATGAACAAATATTTAAATGGACCAGAGACCAGTGAATCTGACAACTGCATTTATGTTTACATTCATGCAGTTTCCAGAGTGCAACTGTCTAGAACAAACTCAAAGTTTTTTAATGCAACTTTGCAAACAGGTCGCAGTGAATATCACCAAGCTGTCATCTTTGCGCACGAAAAACATCAAACTTGGACAACATTAGCATTAAATCGGACAGCGGTTAAACTGTCAAACATAA